GAGACTCCAACTCAAAAAAAAAAAAAAAAAAGAATTGCTTCTGTCCTCTTTCTGTTTCTGCTTAAAAGCCTTATCTTTCAAGCCCCTTATGAGTCTGGCCCACCTTCTTGGCCTAGGCCACTTCCTTGGCCTGGTGCAACTTCTTGACCTGCTTCTTGGGCTATTTCAGGGATGTCTTCTTGCCATCTTCATGGCTGGACCTATAATGTATTATCTCTACTTGTGGTGGGCCAAGCCCTTCCTCATTATCTTTCCTTGGAAAATATTCTAGAGAGCAACAGTCTTTCAGGGCCAAGTATACTATGTGTGAATAAAACAGAATTTCCAAATCTGCAAAGCTGATTTCCAGCTCCTGACATATGACCAGTGAGGACTTGATTGAGCAACCAGTAACTGAGGTGGAAACAGGTGGGACTGGGGCTTTGAAACTCATATAACAGGTTTCTAAAAATGTTTTTTATCTCTTAATTTTTACTTCAACAAAGGAATATGTATAGTTTTAAATTTCAACTAGTTGGGTGTGGTGCCACTCCACTCCAGCCTGGGTGACAGAGTGAGACCCCAAATTAAAAACAATTAATAGCCGGGCATGGTAGCGCGTGCCTGTAGTTCCAGCTACTTGGAAGGCTGAGGTGGAAGGATCGCCGGAGCCCAGCAGGTCGAGGCTGTGGTGACCATGAGTGTGCCACTATACTCCAGCCTGGATGACAGAGTGACTTCTATTCAGAAAAACAAAACAAAACAAAAAAGATGTGAAACTTTTGCTGGGTTTGTGTCTCTCTCCAAGGCCAGGATTGGAGAGTATGAGAAACAGCTGGGAAAGATGACGAACATAATTCCATTTGATCAGATGACCACTGAGGACTTGAATGAAGTCTTCCCAGAAATCAAGTTAGGCTACACCAGCCAACCAAGAATTTATAAAATGGGGCTGGGTGGAAGCTCTGACCCTTATATTACACATTCTAGATATTAAAAATAAAAATAAGCTGACTAGCCTGGGTAACATAGCAAGACCTTGTCTCTACAAAAAAAAAACAAATTATCTCGGTGTGGTGGCACATGCCTGTACTCCCAGTTACTTGGGAGGCTGAAGCAGTAGGATCGTTTGAGCCCAGTTATTGGAGGCTGTGGTGAGTTGTGACTGTGCCACTGCATTCCAGCCTGGGTGACAGAGTGAGACACTGACTCAAAAAAATAAAAATAATTATACGGCCAGGCACAGTGGCTCACGCCTGTAATTCTAGCACTGTGGGAGCCCAAGACGAGAGGATTGTCTGAGTCCAGGGGTTTGACACCAGCCTGGGCAACTAGGTGAGACCTCGCCTCTACAATAAACCAAAAAATCAGCTGGGCACAGTGGCTCACACCTATAATCCCAGGACTTTGGAAGGCTGAGGTGAGAGGATTGCCTGAGCCCACAGGTTTGAGACCAGCCCGGGGAACTTGGTGAGACCTCATCTCTACAATGAATCAAGAAAAATTAGCTCGGTGTGGTGGCGCATGCCTGTAGTTCCAGCTACTTGGAAGGCTGAGGCAGAAGGATCGCCTGAGCCTAGCAGGTCGAGGCTGTGATGGCCATGAGTGTGCCACTGCATTCCAGCCTGGGTGACAGAGTGAGACTCCAACTCAAACAAACAAACAAAATTCTATAAATAAAAAATCAATACTTCGTGTTTACATTATTATGGCTGTGAAAATATTCTTCACAGTTGAACCATTTATATTTGTACTAATACTGTGAATCTGTAAAAGCTGCTTCTGTTAATTAATATCAAGCACATAAGGCTGAGAAACTTTGTTTTCTAAAATCAGTCACTGGCTGAACTTGGTGGCTCAGCCTGTAATCCCAGTGTTTTGGGAGGCGGGGGTGAGTGGATTGCCTGAGCCCGCAGATTCGAGACCCGCCTAGGCAACTTGGCGAGACCTCATCTCTACAATAAATAAAAAAAATAGCCAGGCGTGGTAGTGCACGCCTGTAGTTCTAGCTACTTGGAAGACTGAGGTGGAAGGATCGCCGGAGCCCAGCAGGTCGAGGCTACAGTAGCCAGGAGTGGCCACTGCACTCCAGTCTGGGTGACAGAGTAAGACTCCAACTCAAAAAAATAAAAAAATAAAATAAATAAAATAAAATCAGTCACGAACTTTGCCATTTGAAATCAGTCAGTGAGACTGGAACATCCCACTCTTGCCTGGAGATCTGAGCCTTGGGAATTACTTTAACACAGGGAAGTAGCCTCAATTTCCAACCTATGTGCAACTCTTCGGACAGTGGGTTTTAAACACTACATTCCACATTTATCTTTTTTTTTTTAAGTTGGAGTCTCACTCTGTTGTCCAGGTTGGAGTGCAGTGGCACACTCACGGTCAACACAGTCTTGACCTGCTGGGATCAGGTGATCCCTCCACCTCAGCCTTCCAAGTAGCTGGAACCACAGGCACGTGCCCAGCTAATTTTTTTATTTATTGTAGAGATGAGGTTTCACCAAGTTGCCCAGGCTGGTCTCAAACCCTTGGGTTCAGGCAACCCTCTTGCCTCCGCCTCCCCAAGTGCTGGGATTACTGGCATGAGCCACCGTGCCCGGCTCACATTTATTTTAACTTTGTAGTTTCCAAGTGGAGCCTCGGTTCATTTCTCAGCTCAGACTTCTTACTGATCCTTCCACTTCAAGTCATGCTTACCTTGAACCTATCCAACACTGCTTTATTTAAATTTTACCAAGCTGGGCTAGGCCTTGTGACTCACACTTGTAAGCACTTTGGGAGGCCGAGGTGGCAGGATCGTTTGAGACTAGGAGTTCAAGACTAGCCTAGGCTATACAGCAAAACCTCATCTCTACAAAAATAAAATAAAATAAGCCTGGCACGGTTGTACACGCCTATATTTCCAGCCGCTGGGGAGGCTGAGGTAGAAGGATAGTCTGATCTGGGTGCAGTGGCTCCTACCTGTAAAGGCCGAGGAGAAAGGATTGTCTCAGTCCAGGGATTAGACACCAGCCTCGGCAACTTGGTGAGACCTCATCTCTACAACAAGTGAAAAAAGCCAGGCAACCCCCTTGGGTCCCCTCCCACTGTGGGAGCTTTTCTGTCCTTTCAATAAATCCTGCTTTCAAAAAAGAAAAAAAAAAAAAAAAGAAAAGAGCCAGATGTGGTGGTGTGTGCCTATAGTCTCAGTTACTTGGAAGGCTGAGGTGAAAGGATTGCCTGAGCCCAGTGCGCTTTAGCCTGGGCAACAGAGTGAGTCCCTAGCTAAACAAAAAACAAACAAACAAACAAAAACAATTATTGAGCTGGGTGTGATGGTGCATGCCTATAGTCCCAGCTACTTGGGAAGTTGAGGTAGGAGGATTGTTTGAGTCCAGGCTGGGCAACATAGCAAGATCTTGTCTCTAAATTAAGATATATATACATGTATATATGTGTATATATATATATATATATATATATATATATGCACACAATTTATTTTAGAAGCTGGATCTCACTCTGTTGTCTAGATTGGAGTGGTACAATCATGGCTCACCACAGCCTTCACCTCCTGGGCTCAGGCAATCCTCCTACCTCAGCCTCCTGAGTAGTTGGGACTACAGGTGCAGGCCGCCCTGCCGGCTAAATTTTTTATTTTTTATTTTGTAGGAGCGAGGTCACACTATGTTGCCCAGGCTGCTCTTGAACCTCTGGGCTCAGGCAATCTTCTCACCTGAGCCTCCCAAAGTGCTGGGATTACAGGCGTGAGCCACAGCGCCAGGCCAAGACCTCACCGCTTAAAAGAAGAAAGAAAGAGAGAGGAAAAGAAAGACGGAAGGAATGTTGTAATGAATGAGTGATTGAAGGAATGGGATTTCTGCGCGGGAGAACTGAGTTCACCGGAGAGGATGTTATTAATATAGTCCCACCCAGTTGCAACGTTTAAGGGTGTTCTCAGGTTTTCTGCACGCCAGCTTGGAGCAGGGGCCAAGGTGGGTAGGCAGCGCCGAGGCCCCCTCCAGACCCAGCGAGGTTTGCGGAGCACCGCGCACTGACACCACCAAGGTCAGGACTCGGTCGCCGGTCCTGCAGGCGCCGTGTGAACTACAACTCCCAGAAGGCCGCGCGGGGTGAGGCGTGACCGGTGCCGACTTCCGGGCGCCGACGTCGGCCGCGCGGGACCGGGGAGACGCAGGGCTCAGCGGTAAGTGAGGGCTGGGAGTGACTGAGAGGGCCAGAGCGCCGGGGGACAGGTGTCCAGCGTAGAGGGGGTGGCGAGGTGGAAGGACCCAGAGCTTTGCTTTCTCTTTCCGCAGTGACCATGACGAAATTAGTGCAGTGGCTCTGGGGACTGGCCATCCTGGGCTCCACCTGGGCGGCCCTGACCATGGGAGCCCTGGGCCTGGAGCTGCCCTCGCCCTACCGGGAGGTTCTATGGCCCCTGCCCGCCTACTTGCTGGTGTCCGCCGGCTGCTATGCCCTGGGCACTGTGGGCTATCGCGTGGCCACTTTTCACGACTGCGAGGACGCCGCGCGCGAGCTGCAGGACCAGATCCAGGAAGCTCGAGCTGACTTAGCCCGTAGGGGGCTGCGCTTCTGACACGCCAACCCCATTCCCGCCCGGACGCCGTCCTTCCCACCCCATTAAAGAGCAAGTTTATTTTCTAACTGTTCAGTTTGAGTATGGAGAATGGGAATTGGGGATTCCGAGTACCAGGGATGGAGAAGCAAGAGGTGCAAGATTCACCTTCCCGAGGCCACCGCAGCCTTTGTCTTTGCGATTTGTTGGTGCTCCCCATTTTTGTTCCAAAGAAGGCAAGAGATCCCTTCTCAAGATCTCTCAGGGTAGAAATGCCATTTCACTTTCCTGGTTCTTTCTTTTTGAGAAACCCAGGCTGGTCTTGAACTCCTGGACTCAAGTGATCCTCTGGCCTCACCCTCCCAAAGTGCTAGGATTGTAGGCATGAGCCACCACGCCTGGTTCCTGGTTCTTTTAACCCCGTAGGAAATACTTATTGAAGTCTAACTTCCATTCTTCATAGCATCCAAGCTTTGTTTTTTGTTTAAATAATTCAGACAAGGTCTCATGGTGTTGCCCAGGTTGGTCTTGAGCTCCTGCTCCTGGTCTCAAGCAATCCTCTGGCCTTGGCCTCCTAAAGTGTTGGGATTACAGATGTGAGCTACTGCACCTGGCCTTCTGTCCTTTTTAAGGCCTTCTTGGGTTTTTCCAACCTCATGGTTCTATGAGACATCTTTTCTGAGCCAACCTACCAACCTAAGAATAACTGTGGATCTACCCTTCACCAAACCATGGAAGTTTAGAATCATGAAAAGAGAATGAACTATGATGGGCAGGGTTGGGGAACACTTTTATTTTAAGGCATAGTCTAAAGACCCCAACCTCCAAAATTAAAAAAAAATAATCTCTCTAAAAAATAAAAGTGATTTCATCTCCTAGTTTCCTCCTGATTATCTAATTAAATTTTTTCTTTGGTCCTTCTATTTTCCCAAGTCATCTCTTGTTCCCACAACCCACTGCACCTGGAGAGCCGGTCAGTGGGACCAGCTGAAACAAGGAGCTCTCTTTGGTATCAAGTTGGCATTAAGGTGCCTAGTGGTCAGGTGAGCTGCCTCAGGTTTGCAGGAGCCGACAGTTCCTGTCTTGTTCCTGGGGGTACTTCCAGAAAAGCCAGAGGCGGATAAAGCTGGTGATGATTCCTGGAGAGTTGGGCACCTGAAATCACAAGGACTTCTATGAGGAGAGAAGCCAATTTTCCACCTGGCACACCTGAGACCCCAGCCCTATTCTGCTTACCGTGATGTAGGGATCTCTGAGTCGTAACCCATAGAGGGTCCAGGAAGCAGAGGTAAGAAGGGTGGCAATGGTGAGTGAGAAGGACAGACACTGGGTTGATTTCATCTGAATGACCTTGGCCTGTGAGAAAGAATGAACAACATTTCTGGCTCAGGCACAGAGTAAAGGTCTCACTTGCCTAAGACTCTTCTCAAGAAAATGGTCCAACACTCTCCCTGATCTGTCACCCAACCTTTCTTTCCTGCCTCCCACCTGTCCACCTCTGCTGTCCTGTCTCCTTCCAGGGATGGGACCTTCCCTGCCTCAGGAGTGTAAGCCACAGTCTTTGCCTATGAGAGCCTGGCCTTCTTATCTCTCCTATCTCCCTGGGCACTTCTACTCACCAAATCAGCCAGTGGTGAGAGGTACATGCTGATAGTGAAGACACTGCAGAAAAGACCCAGCTGCTGAAGCTGGGTCTCAGTGTCGGGCACCAGGAGCCAAAAGTAGCCATAACCCAGGAGAAGGATCCCTAGCAGGGCTGCAGTCCGTAGGAGCACAACATGCTGCAAGGGAGAGAGCAGACTTCCTTCCAGAGGTGCCAGGAGCACTCTGACTCCCTGCTGTAGTTAATTCATCCTGCTCGCTCCCCCACTCCCATGGGGAAGTCAGCCTTTGCTCCAGCTTCCAACACTGCACTTGTCACAGCCTCTTTCCCACCAGTAACTTGATGGGATAGTTTTAGACACCCATAAAACTGGAAACCTCTGAGGGAAGGAAAGGTATCTTTTTTCTTTTTGAGTTGGATTCTCACTCTGTCACCCAGGCTGGAGTGCAGGGCACATGGCCACCATAGCCTCCACCTGCTGGATTCAGGTGATCCTTTCACCTCAGCCTTCCAAGTAGCTGGAACCACAGGTGCATACCACTACACCCGGCTAATTTTTTAAATTTATTGTAGAGATGAGGTCTCACCAAGTTGCCCAGGATAGTCTTGAACTCCTGAGCTCAGGCAATCCTCTAACCTTGGCCTCCCAAAGTGCTGGGATTACAGGTGTGAGCCACTGTGCTCCACAGTATCTTTTTTCTATAAGTGTGGCACACACAGTAGTGTGTGATTGAGTGGAGAAGCAATCATCTCATTCTTACCCATTGCCCCTGGCTCTGAAAAAAACATTAGGCACCAAAGCCCTTTCCTCTCAGCTTGCTGGGCAGAAGCTCAGGGCAGCAAAGGCATCTCAGGCTGGGTAGAGCTACCAGCCTTGCCTGAATGGGGACCAGAAGGCAGGCTTGGTTCAATGAGTCCCAGAAGGCAGGCTTCAAGGAGGAAGAGACCTGCAAGGCTGGATGGGCCTTCCAGGAAAAGATGGCAGTGCCGGCCCGTGATAGTCTTCGAGGAAGTAGTGTTTGTCCTGCCAGCAAGGCAGGACATGCAGCAGAGAAGTGGGTCTAAGAGAGGGTGTCTACCTTCCGAGGGCAGTAGTGCAGGTACACGAAGATATACAGGGCCTGAAGCGCAGCACCCACTGCGTTGACAGCGAAGAGGACCCCGTCTCCCTTCAAGGCCCCATAACTCAGCCAACTCAGGTTGCTGTGGGGTAGACAGGAAGGGCATGACCCGCAGGGTTCAGTGTGGGAGGGGGACCCAAGAGGCCTCTTTCACGCGCCTCCTACCCCTCCCCCACCTCCCTAGGACAGCCTTGCCCGCCGCCGCGGCCGTTGCCCCCTCACTTGACTTCCGTGGTGAGAAAGGGCAGGAACTGAACGTTGTCCACGCTCCGGGTCATCCGCATGTACCTGAGGTCCGAGCTGTAATGGGGTCTCGAAGGGAGGGGTGAAGAGTGGGAAGAAGGGAGGACCAGGGTGTTGGGGAGATCCCCAATGCCTGTCATCCCTCCCAGACAACCGCGGACAACCCCCCAGATTCCCTGCCTTCTCCCTCAGGCCAAGTGACCAGCCTCGCCTGTGCACCCCTCGACCCGATTCCACTTTGACCCCGGATTCCGGACGCAGCCTGGGGCTGTGGCCACGTCTCTGCTCCCTCTCGCCTCTCCGGACTTCCTGGTCC